TTGGGCTATTGTAACACTTGTATTGAGCTTTTGCTTTGTGTTAAATAAATCAAGAGCTTCCATTTTGGTCTCAACTTCAAGGAGTCAAGTGCGAGTACTATATATACGTACGAAGTATATGTCAATAAATTGCATGCATGCATGCATTTTTTTTTTTTTTTAAGGATGGTTTTTTATTAAGGATATACGACATATATTCAAAATCGAAAAATTTGCTTGCATCGAGTACACAACCATACAGTTTCGAAAAAAAAAAAAAAAATGTACACAACGATACGAGTATGAAGGTTTTTTTTTTTTTTTTGACAGGGAGTATGAAGTTATTTTAACAATATTCTTGTAAAAAAAAAAAGAAATTTGTAATTTGCATTGTAAGGAGTGTCATATGTTCATATCGGTTGAACTTGTGTTATTCCACTATATTATACAATCCGGAGTAATAATCTATCTATATACCAAGTATATAGCAATAATATATATATGACATCAACTAATTAATTTAAAGGAGTGTCATATGTTCTCAAAAAAAAAGGGGGGGAGGGGGGGAAGTGTTATTAGTATTTGTTTCAATTTCATCCTCAAGGGAAAATAATTAAAATTATTTGTTTCAAAAGCAATAATTGTTATGCTAAAATATTATGAAAATTTTACAGTATTCATTTGAAATATGACTATCATAATATTTTAATGATTATATAGTTCACAATTGACATATTTTTTTCCAAGTAAGGCCCCGTTCACTTCGCCTTAATTATGCTGAATAGAAATTGTTTTTACTGAACTGAAATTATTTTGCTGAACCGAAATTATTTTTACTGAACTAAAATTAATTTTACTAAATTTGGAAACTATTTTTACCGAAATGAAATTATTTTTTTTACTGATTTTCTATCGTATTTCTTCTTTATAGCTATTGAATTTTACTGAATTGAACTTATTTTTACTAAACTGAAATTATTTTTACTTAATATTATTTTAGTGAGGTTAAGTGAACAGGGTCTAATTAATTATATTAATTTATTAATTGTATTAAATATTATTATCAACAATTTTTTTGATTTATCAAATTTTTAGTTTCATTTATGTAATTTTTATTCTTATTTTATAGTTTCTCAAATAATATTTATTTTATATTGGATTAAAATTATCAAAATTTATATTTACATTGTAGGTATTATAAGACTAATTGTGGTCATTTTATAACATGAAAAATGAACCAATCATATTATATATCATTAAAATAGTATGGTAGTCATTTTTCAAATGACCGCCGTAAAATCATCCAAAATATAAATGGCATCCATATATTATTTGTTTCAATTTATCCTCAAGGGTTTTTTTTTTTAATAATAAATAATTGTTATGCTAAAACATTAATGGCATCCTGAAGAGTAAATTAAATATCGCTAAGCTAGTATGCTATCATCCCTAATTAACCCCTCCCAATTTTCCCAAAGCCTCTTTTGTCTTCTCCTCTATCCCAATCCTTCCCTCTCTTTTCGCAGTTTGCCCTACTTACACTGGCAACACAAAGAATTGAAGCATAGTCATGGCACCAATTTAATGTGACATTATTGTTGAATTGGTGTAGGTCGTTGTATTAATTACATATAAAGGACCTACCTTTATGATGGAACAAGATTGGACCTGATATATATCAACATGTTTCCCACATACTTGTATCTTAAATTCAAAAACCTAAGAACTAGTTCCCTCCACGTACCATATATTATAATATTTAGTAAAATTAAATTTTAAGCAATAAATTATCAATTTGATTAGAATATAACAAAATGTACTAGTGAATCACAAAAGATCAAATTCAATCAATATGTACTATTTCAGGTTATAAAATATATCTTGTAAAAAAAAAAAGGTTATAAAATATGAAGTAGTAGTTCGTTAAGCTAATTAAGTGATCCCGAGTTTTATAATGGTCACACAATTCAAAAGGTAATGGCCAATAATGTCATCAGCCTAAAAATTATTTGAGCAAAACTTATAATTATATTATTGATGAAGAAATAAAATTAAATGAACATTGTGGTTGTTATTGTTTTATACCTTTATGTATGCAATCCCCTTAAAATTGATTTTATCAGATTTTCTACAATATCTTTTTGGTTAGACATTTAGACTAATGGACATTTGGACCAGCCCTACCTTTTTGTAAGCTGGTATATGTAACAATTGTTGTGTATTTATCTCTCTAGTCTAAATATAAAGTTTAATAAGTAACAATTGTGGTGTATTAACATATAAGTTTTTTTTTTTTCCCGATCCTTATTCTTTAACTTTATACTTTGTGGTATGGAGTATCTACTTTGAGGTTTTGGTTCTTTTCTGTGTGGCTGGCCATACTTTGTGGCCGGATTACTTAGTTGGTCAAGGGTTACTTCAACTGGGATTACTCAGTCGATTAGCGCATATTCTGTGTGAGAGTAACCCCTGACTGACCGAGTATTCCCTAAATAATATCTGACCAATCAAATGACACTACTAGAAAAGTGTCGTTTTCCGACGGAAAAAATTCCTCGGAAACACCCTGTTTTCCGTCGGAAATAGGGTTTCCGACAGAATTCCGTCGAAACGTGTCGTCGGAAAACATTTTGTAGGAAAAATGGCCTTTTCCGACGAAATTTCCGTCGGAAACACATTTCTGGGAAGACAAATTGGGGCCCGGAAAAGTCCGTCGTAAATTTCGACGGAAACCAAATCCGTCAAAAAATTCCGTCGGAAACTTCTACCAAAAAAAATAAAAAAAAAACCCACCCCACCACACCCCACACCACCACCCACCACCACGTCCAACCCCCACTGCCACCCCACAAGCCAAAAAAAAAAACCCACCCCACCCCCACACCACCACGCACCACCACGTCCAACCCCCACTGCCACCCAACAAGCCCTAAGCCAAACTCTAAGCCGCCACCACCACCTTAACCGATTTAACCCTAACCCACCTAACCCGAACTAACCCACCCACCAGACCCACCACGACCCTAACCCAATAACCTAGATCCACCACCACCTTAACCCATTAAACCCTAACCCACCTAACCCGAACTAACCCACCCACCAGACCCACCACGACCCTAACCCAATAACCCAGATCTACCACCACCTTAACCCATTTAACCCTTACCCATTTAACTATAACCAACCTAACCCATAAAACCCACCACACCTAACCAAACCACCAGATTCGACCACCCACCTAACCCATAAAACCGACCAACCCACCTAACCCATAAAAACGAAACCACCACGGCACCAAGCCACCACAAAACCCAAAAAAAAAAAGAAGACTCGAAAAAACATACCTTTTTTTACTGAAATTGGCTTCGAATTCTTGAAATTTGGTTTTAATAGGCCAAATTCGATCATGAAAAGTCTAGATTTAAACTTTTCATGGTCGAATTTGACCAAAGAAACCATTAATGCCGATTTTTGACCATAAAAACCCCAAGAAATAGAAGAGAAATAAGGAAAGAGAAGAAGAAGAAGAAGAAGATGGAGGAGGAGAGAGGAAGAGAAGGAGCGGAGGAGAGAGAGAAACACAGAAAGAGAAGAAGTGGAAGAGAGAGAAAAAGAAGAGCGGAAGAGAGAGAAAGAAAAGCTGGAGAGAGAGAAGAGGCGGATGAAAGAGAATCTGGAGAGAGGAAGAGAAAACCCTAGAAGATTATAAAAGGCCAGGTTTTTTTTATTATATATAATCATATATTCCGACGGAATATTCCGTCGGAAATTTCCGACGGATTTTGATTCCGTCGGAAAATTAATTTTCCAACGGAATTTGCCGTCGGAAATTTCCGACGGATTTTAATTCCGTCGGAAATTAAATATTCCGACGGAATTTTCCGTCGGAAAGTGTATTTATACCGACAGATTTTTGTTCCGTCGTAAATTTCCGACGTATTTCCGACGGAATGTTAAAATCCGTCAGAAATAAACGACGGAATAAAAATACGTCGAAAATTCCGAAGTTTACGACGGAATTTCGTGTCCGTCGGAACAATTCCGTCGGAAATCAGACTTTTCTAGTAGTGTGACCCCTGAATAAGTAATACACTAATACCACTATAAGAATAAAATATCCCTTAATAAAAAAACCCCGGCCACACGGTGTGACCAGTCAGCAGTACATATAAAAATTAGCCTTCAGGTGTAATGGTACTTACTCCATGAAGTTTTTTGGCCTACAGAAGACCCTCGTAGCAGGCTTGTGGGTGTTTTTCCCCCTTCTATTGCTCGACCATTGCATGGTGTTAAGCTGCTTGGTGGTCCTGTTAGTTCTGATTCCAGGTTTAGTGGCGAGCTTGTGATGCAGAGGGTGACCCAGACCATTGCGCTTATGGATAAGGTTGCTATGCTGGATGATCCCAGTGTGAGCTGTTGTTACTTAGGGAATGTACTGGAGTTTCTAAACTATACTTTTCCTTGCGTACTTGTTCTCCAGGTGCATTTGAGGCGGCTCAGCGCGTTTTCGAGAGGTTCTTCGATCTTCCTTGGAGCGTAATGTTACTGCTTCAGGGCCCGGGTTTGGTGATTGGTAGTGGCGGCTTGCCACCTTACCATTTGCGTTTGGAGGGCTTGGTGTTTACTCCGCAGGTGATGTTCGTCACTATGCTTTTCTTGCTTCCCGGTTGCAGTCTGCTGGGTTGCAGACACAGCTTCTGCGTCGTACTGGTATTGTGGGTCTTGGTCAAGCTTTTGAGGATGCGTTGAGTTTGTTTACTGGAACGGTTGAGTCTGAAATTTTAGGTAATCCTTATGAGGTCGCTGCCCCTAAACTCATGAAGAAATTGGCAGATATATATTTCACAAAGGTTACCGCTTCTGCAGAATCCACCTTTTCTTTGTCTCCTCGGCAGTTGGCGTTGTGGAAGTCGCAGCAGGGTGATCACACCTCTGCTTGGCTTCGGGCAGTCCCTATTTCTGGATTGGGTCAGACGATGAACGCTAAGACATACCGATGTGTGCTGTGTTATCGGCTATGTTGCACGGATACCGACACGGACACGGACACGGACACGATACGGACACGGGAAAACGGCAATCCTGAAATAGGGGACACGGGTACGGCATATAACAAGGCATATAATATATCAAAAAAACGAGAATTTGACAACCTATTCAATAAAACACTAAATAATTAGCCTCAAAACACACAATTTTGTTAAAACAAGTAAATAAACAAAGTGTACGAACGTAGTCTCATACATATCAAGAAACCATCAAACCAAATACATGTCTTAATAATAGTTTTACAAATCATAAATAAAATAAACAAAAGTACTAATAGTTTCATTCTTCACCATCACCAAGTACATCATCAAAAATCATATTCTCCATCTCGGGTTCATCAAGTGAGAGCTCGGCCATCTCTAGAATACCAACCTCTCCTAGGTTGTCATGCTCATCTCCACCCACATCCCACAACTTAGATCTCCCCTTAGTGTATTCTTCACTTCTCCTAGAAAGTAATCGAAGGTTGTTATGAATGTATACCAAGTCTTGAGCACGTTTAGGAGTAAGCTTATTTCTAGTGCAAGAATTAATAAACTTATAGGTGCTCCAATTCCTTTCACTACAAGAAGAGGAAGAAGGTTGACCTAATAGCTTATAAGCCAAACCTTGAAGCATAGGCACTTGGGAACCATAAGTTGCCCACCAATTTTTAGCATCCATCAAAGCCATATCATGCATGCAATCAATGTTGAGAAAGATCCCCTCTGATTTTTGTGAGAATATTGCAAATTCCGTGTTGATCTTGAATCTTTCATCGGGACTTTGGAAAAGCCTTCGAAAGCATTGTAATCTTTGTGTGGAAATTTCATTGTCGGCATTTGGAGCAACTCGTCCCGGGACCTCATTAAGCCATTCTTCCGTGTAAAATCTTTAACAACAAAATAAGAATAGCCATAAGAAATTAAATAAAAAAACAAGGAAAAATAAATAAAGATGAATTAAATAAGTAAAACTTACCTTGGATTCAAAGAATGTGCTAATGAATGAAGTGGAGTACTACCCTTACTCCAACGACTACTAAGAATCCCTTTAACTACATTAAAGAAGGTAGATTGTTCATAATCTAGTTTACCCTCTTTCTTGTAGATGGCATCTTTCACCTTTTGAACCATAATGTCCCATCTTTCATAAACCAAATGCAAGGAAGATTTGTCGGTGTCACAAACCCTAATCATCTCATAGATTGGGCGTGTAAAATCAAGAATGTAATCAACTTTTTCCCACCATATTTCATCCAAAATCTTTTCCCTTACATGTGAGGCTTGCCCGCGTCGATCATCCTTGTATAAGGACCAATTCTCACTAATAACCATTGATTGAAGTGATGTTTTAAGGAGTTTCAACCTTTTAAGCATGCACACAATTGAAGCAAAACGAGTGTCGGCAATGCAAAGTAGTTTTAATGGCGAAAACTTATTGAACATTGAAAGCCTCATCGAATGATTCATTATGTAATTTTTAATGAACAAGGCATCTGCATGAACTTCCGTTATCCAATTACATTCATCATATACTTCAACATTATTCAACACATTCTTAGCTGCACAGATGCTTTTCATTGCAAGATTAAGTGTATGAACAACACATGGTGTCCAATATATATGAGGATACCTACCCTCAACCAATTCCCCTGCAGCCTTACAATTACTTGCATTATCTGTGATTATTTGAACAACATTTTGATCTCCAATTTCATCAATCACCTCACTTAGTAAGGTAGCAATGAAATCTTTGTCCTTAATCTCACCCGAGCAATCAATAGCTTTCATAAACATAGGACCCGTTTCAGAAGCAATCATAATGTTAATCAAAGGCCTTCTTTGTGGATCACTCCACCCATCACTAACAATGCTAACACCTTTTGTTTTCCATGTGGCTTTCATAGGTTGTAATAACCTATCCACATTTTCTGTCTCTTTACAAAGCAAAGTTGTTCTAAGTTTGTTGTATCCGGGAGGCTTATAACCAGAGAGATTAGAATTGGCAGCCATTGTATATGAACTAACATAGTAAGGGTTTCTAGCAAGATTAAAAGGCAACCCCCCTGTGTAAAACATTCTAGCAATTTCAGAATCCAAGTGGTCACGAGATTTCACATTAAAAGCATCAGAAATTGTATTTTTTGATTTCCTCTTCTTTACATTATCAAATGAACCTAGTCTCATTGATGTAGCTTCAGTTGATGTGTGAGAAGATATGGGTTCATTTGAAAAAGGTGGAACTTTTGGTAACAAAGATTTTTTATAATCCTCGGATTCACGATGAAGCGATCTTAGTTTAGCAAGGTCATCAATTTTCACTTTATTACAAGTTTGAATCCCTTTCCCTTGTTCACCTAGCAAATGAGCTTTCACTCTAGTGTATGAACCATTTTTAACTTCGCCGCAAAAGTTACATTTCCAATTATAATTTCCTCCACCACCCGATATTTTATCACCCTTAACAACAAACTTCCACAAAGGGTAGGGGTCTTTCATAGACTCAGATGAATTACTACTACCACTGACATTGCATGAAGCAGAGGAACTAGAAGACATTCCTGAGAATTTCAACAAGACAACAATACAATTTCAGTTTTTCATGCTTATATCAAATGCATTAAAGTTTAATTAAACAAGTCCAACAAGTCCAGCAACTAGCCAACTATACAGTATACATCAAAGTATCAAAAATCAAATTTTCAGTTCTTCATTTTCATTACAGTATACAGGATGTATACATGAAGGATCAATTATGCACGCTTGTTCCTGATTCTAATCAAGTTAAAGTTAAATTAATTGAATGTATACATGAAGGAGCAATTGAATTTCAGAAAATTAATTGAATGTATACATGAAGGAGCAATCGAAAATTAGAAAATTAATTGAATTTAAAAAAAAAAAAAACAAAGTAGAGAACCTCAGAACCATACCTGGTGGCTGACGCGCGACGGACGACAGGCGACAGACGACAGTGAGCTGGAGACTGGTGGCCTGGTGGGCGGTGGCTGAGGACGAACAACGGTGAGAGAAGGCTAGCAGCCTAGCACGAGCAGCAGGTGACAAGCCTAAACAGCAACGAACGGTGACTCGGTGAGAGACGCAGCTAGCAGATCAGAGACAGACGTTTGAATGTGACAGCGGTTGTGAGACCGACGGCCGGCGGTGACGACTGACGGGCGACGACGACGAGCTACAAAGTACTTAGGGTATGAGTTAGTGAGAGAATGAGAGGATTGAGAGTTTGAGACTTGGGAAGTTGGGAGAGGCAGAGCATGAGTCAGTGAGGGTATTGTATTTCGCGTGTCCAATACAAAACGGGCCGTGTCTTGGGGTGACACGGTCCGTGTCCAAGTATCAAAATTTAAAAAAAAAAAACGGACACGATTTTCTGCGTGTCGGACACGTGTCGCCCCGTGTCCCACCCGTGTCCGTGTCCGACACGCGTGTCGACTCGGACTCTCCTGTCAGGTGGCGTGTCTGTGCATCACAGGTTATCGGATGGGTGTTCCATTGTTCTCTGTCTCGACACCGTGCTCTGCTTGCTCTCGGGTTTTTACTGGGGATGTATTCGGCGACCATGCGGTGTCGTGTGCTGGCATTGTTGGTATTAAACATCGGCACAATGTTTTTCGGGATACATTTGTTGATATTTGCTACAGATCTGGGATTTCAGCAAGAAAGGAAGTTGACATAGGATTGTCTGGAGGGAATGACGGGGCCCTCAGACCTGTCGATGTGTTACTTTATTCATGGGATCGTGGTCGTGATGTATGTGTCGACTTCACATGGTCTTCTCCTTTGACACAGACAAAGTCGACTTCACATGGTCTAGCTACCCCTCACTCTAATAATAATAATAATAATAATAATAATAATAATAATAATAATAATAATAATAATAATAATAATAACCACTAGAATGAAATATCTTTAAATTAACCACGTGTGCCAATTGAGTGAGAGAATCCATATCCGAAAACGTGAGATAAATATGTAATGACCACACATGTAATGCCAAGTGTAAGTTAATCTAGTTAGCTAGTAGACCGTCAACTATCGTTCAATAAAGTTTAATGATGTCGTCACAAGTCTCACAACCTGCATTATTTTTTTCTTCTAAATACAATAAAAACTTTTGTATATACCCGATTTACACTAATATTAGCGTACATCGATCAGTATAAAGGTAACTTTTAGCTAATTTTAGGGTAACTTTTTGACTTTTTTGGGTAACCTTAAACATAATACAATTTTTATATAATAAATAGACAACAAGAAAAGTTTTACTCCCTCCGTTTTTATATACTTGCTCCATTTCTCTTGGACACGCATGCCGATGCTAATATTTGATCACTAAAATCTTTAATTATCAATAAGTATAAATTCTAATAATTGAAAATTAATAATCTATTCATTGAGATGATTCCAACAAGTACCCAAGACTATATTTTTTCTTATGTATAAATCACAAACATTAGTCAAAGTAGGACAAATGAATAGTGCAAAAAATAGAAATGGAGCAAGTATTTAAAAACGGAGGGAGTATAAAGGTAATTTAATTACATTCAATCACTAATAATTAATTTTAGTCATTTAAAATGTGATTCTTTACTAATAAAGCGTAGATAATTTTATTTGTATTGAGTTACTTTTATGCATATTGGGGTAATTTTTATTCATTATATTTCAGGGATAACTTTTGATCACTTTAGGCTATCTTTATAATGAATGTACAATAATTATTATACACCCGATTTTTTAAAAAATTTGTGTACTGTAAATACAATTGAACGGCAAAGGGTTTTAGGTGATTGATGTTAATATATTATGGAATGTAAGTGAAGTTTGTTATGAATAAAAAAAATACTCATAGAAAAGTTATAATTTAACAAGTGTAGGTTAATAATTTATTTAATTTGAAGATAAAGGATGTGTGGTAAGAGAGAATTAATAATAACGAATTGAATGATATAAATGAGAGGGAGTACCTTAATTATTGAAGTGCATTACAACAACGTACTCCCTACACTCTAATACTTCATTTTGTTTAAATGATAATTACTTCTCAAAAAATAGAATATATATTATAACTTGTACAAACGAAAAGTAGTAGTAGTATATATTATTTCGGTTTATTTAATGTAACAACTGGGTTCACACTATCTATATACATGCTATCTTGCAATAATTTAATTGTAATTTTTAGGTAATTTTAGTCTAATGAGATCTGATCTTAGTAAATTTATTTAAATATATACTTTCATAATATCAACCCTATAATAATAATGTTAGCGGTCTTGCTAAATTTTTAAGGAGAGCCCTTTCTTTCTTAAATTTTTTATGACAATTAAATAAGATGAAGGCAATATTATATTTGTCAATTGTCAAAGTATGTCACTTTAATTCATTTCAACCTCATTTTTTCAATGTTGGTCCAATAATTGTAGATTTTTTTATTCAACGGACGAATTCTTAACACATATTCGATTTGCATTGAGTGAGCCACATCTTAATTTAATGGTTATGATATAAGCTACGATTAAATAGTCCTAAATGCAGATGATTGCCTCAGATCATTAGTAAGTTCTAGATATGAATGTAGAAAACTATTATTAGTGTGATGTACTTTCCATAATCATTTTTAAAACTATGATATGCTTACTTATCTGTCTCTCTTGTTCCATTAAACGGTAGTGTGTATGGTTTCGAATTTAGACCATCTCTTAATTTAATTAATTACCCAAGCTAAAACTAGTTAGTAATCTAGTATGTATTGATGCACTCATGCACTTACACCTGGCCACTCTACTTGAATGTTAAGATTTTAAGTGTATTAAGAAGAATGTTGATGATCTCGATCAATTAGAAATAAATCAAATAATATATCTTTACACTTCAATTTTTTTTTTTATTTTTTTTTTGGCATGATTAACATTTCTCAAAGAAAGTGCTAGAAGTCATGTAATAACTTATTCCCCTAATTTTTTTTTTAACAGTAAGAAGAAGATTATAATTAATAAATAGTCATACGACATATATAATAATAATAATAATAATAATAATAATAATAATAATAATAATAATATTTGTAAACAATATATGTAGAGAAAATAACATAACTTTTATAATCAAAATCATAACTAATTTGCATATCAGGCATAGCTCAAACTATACAGCTTCAAACTTGACACTAACAGTGATTTTTGATGTTTTAACATCTTTCCAAGTAGAGACCTTTGTAATCCGCGCTGATGTTTTGATCGTAGAGTTGATGACAAACCCTAAAATCACATATTTTAAATCACCTTTTCAATTATTATTAAAACCCTAAAAATAAAATTCTCATCCATAGATAGAATCATAATCCCATAAATTTTGGGGAAAAAAAAAACAAAACAAAAAAAATTGGGGCAGACTCTCACAAACAAAGAGAACAAAATAAAACAATAACAAATAAGTGAATTAAATCAAAGAAAAATGATCGGAAATAGTCTAATTTCTTCGGCTTAAACGGCCAAAAAAATTAAAACTCTAAAAGAGAGAGGAGAGAAGTAAGCCTCATCTTCTCCGATGTTTGTAAATTTTGCATTTTAGGTACTAAAAGTGCAACAATTAACCTAATCATAGGTCATAAACTAGACCTAGCCAATTGAATTTATTTATTTTTTAGTTTATTTTTATTTTTTTTTATTTTTTTAATGGCGTATGAATTGTATGAGATCACATCATTACTAGTTGTAAAGTCATATTTCTATGAAACGTGTTAAAAAATAGAAGACAAGTAATTGGGTCTACCGCTTACCAGTAATGCATATAGAGGGCCAAAGAAAATGATCGAAATTAAATAGATTTGGTCCTATGCAACATTTCAACGTGTTATATGTATCAAGCATCTGGCCCTTCCTCTTTAATGTTATGATGACCAATGAAAATAATTGAGAGCATTTGTTAATCCATGGTAAATTTGTAAGATTTCATCTGTACTAAATCTATAATTACTTTATGGTGTTTACAAAGTCAAATTTATCAGGATCGAACTAACCGAACTAATCTAAATATCTAATACTCCTTCCGTCCCATAATATATTTCTTGTTTATGTTTTTTCACGGTATTTAAGAAATAGGAGGAGAAAGTGTATGAAGTACATTAATAAAAGTGAAAAATATAATTATAGACAAAAGTTAGAGAGAAAAAGTGGAAAAAAAGTATAAGGCATGTGCAAAATTCAAGGGTAATTTATTAAGTACAATGAATAAAGTTAAAAATAAGGATATAATGATCTTTATATACTATCCAAAAATAGAAACGAGAATAACATTTTGGATCTCCAAAATAAGAAAATAGGAACTATATTAGACGGATGGAGTATATATGAAAATGAGTTTTTTTCCTAAGTTTTTAAAGAACAACGTAATATGCTTTTTTTTTTTTTTTTGAAAGAACATAATATGAAATTAATACAATAACAAATTTTATCATATAAATACAAAAAAAATTGTTCTTAAAAAATTAAACAAATCGTACATCGAAGGAACTTCAGTTTCCCATTTTTTTAACCGTATACTCCATGAATCCTGTACTAGTCTCACTTAGCTGTTACCCCGTAATAATTATTACTTGGTACAAAGTTGATAGAGATAATCTGTTATTCAAATATTATTAAAATTGATGAGACAAAGCAATAATAAACGTGCGAGATTTGGAGGCTATTGTAGATTTGCGTAGTACAACCTTTAGCTAATGTCCACTAATTCCTTATCATGTTGTATTCACAGTACAACCTCATTCTTCAACTATATATGTCAGTAATATAGATACAAGCTTTAAAAGTATTGGACATTTATGAAATGGAGCGATCGGGGAACGTGATACCATTTGAACTTGGAAGTTGGAAGCAATAATTGCCCTTGATTTGTTACAGCGGTCGTTTGAAAAAAATATGTTTTTATCGCAAATTTTTTTTAAAGTTCTTAACGATTTTCGTTTTCGAAAACCCAAGACTTCCGCCACGACCTCCCGCCTTATAACCACTCTAAGGACATATCCCGCCACCTTAGCTTCTCCACCCGAATTCTCTCTTCTACATGACATTCCATGCAAGCCCTTCTTCATGACCTAGCCACAATAACATAGCTTCTAGTTCTTGCCCTATCGTCATGTCCCCTAAATCTTATCATTAAGCCACTTAGAAATGGGTAGCTTAGTATGAATTAGGTTTACAATACTCAAATTTTTAGTGAAAATTCTACCGGTCACAATTTTTTAAATTAGACGGCGGTTGTGGTTTGATGAATTTTGAATTATTTTTCTTATTTTAGGAATTCATTTAAAATTTTGAAAGCTACGGGGGCGTTGGATAAGCTAGTTAAAAATAGAAAAATTAAATTAAAAGGAACATTAATTACACCGATTGACGCGTGATTTTGTCATGCTTTCCCAAATTAATACCATTTTAGGTAATATTTTAAATGTTTATCCAACGCCC